ATCTTTAGCCAGGCCAGAATAACATTTCTGGCTGTTTAATGCCCCTGTTATCTCTGCCTTTCCTTCCCCTCCAAGGAGTGGGAATGATGTCACACAAGGAGAATTGAGTTGAGGTGAAAACCTGGACTGAGTGGTGGAACTGAGGTGACTTTTAGTTTTTTTTTTCCTTTCTTTTTTTAATTTCTAAATTTGAATTTGGAGAGGGTGGGGGCTACTATAACCATAACCAATGTTTTATGAAAACCCTAGTATTTTGTTAATCTAAGCCTTTCAGTCTGCATAGGAATTTAGGCTGTAGCCCAGGTAAAACATTTTTTAGGCTGATGAATTCTATTGGAGTAGTGGAGTTTGAGCACAAGGTTTAATTCTGATTGTTTTATTTATTTTTTGCTTCTGTATTACACAGCTATGTTACAATGCTGCCGCCCATAACATATTCCATATTAAAGGACCATTATAGGCACCCAGACCATAATGAAGTGCTCTGGGTGCCAGATCCAGCTAGGTTTAACCCTTTTTTTCTATAAACATAGCAGTTTCAGAGAAACTGCTATGTTTATAAATGGGTTAATCCAGCCTCCAGTGGCTGTCTCATTGACAGCCGCTAGAGGCGCTTGCGTGCTTCTCACTGTGAAAATCACAGTGAGAAGATGCCAGTGTCCATATGAAAGCATTGTGAATGCTTTCCTATGGACTGGCTGAATGCGCGCGCGGCTCCTGCCGTGCATGCGCATTCAGCCGAAGAGGAGGAGAGGAAGAGGAGAGCTCCCCGCCCGGCGCTGGAGAAAGAGGTAAGTTTAACCCCTTCCTCTCCCCAGAGCCCGGCGGGAGGGGGTCCCTGAGGGTGGGGGCATCCTCAGGGCACTATAGTGCCAGGAAAACGAGTATGTTTTCCTGGCACTATAGTCAGGGACGTATTAGCCGTGAGGCAAACAAGGCATTTGCCTTGGGCGGCATTTTTCAGGGGGCGGCAAAAAACGCCGCCCCCAAATGCCCAGGGCAAATGCCTAGTTAGCCTTGCGGCTAACTGACATGCTGGGCGCTGGGCGGCGCTGGCTGGTGGTCGGGCGGGCGGCTGGCGAGGGAGCTCTTCCCCTGAGCTGACTGTTCAGCTCCCTCGCGCGCCGCAGAGTGAGGCTGGGAGCCGGAATATGACATCATCTTCCGGCTCCCAGCCTCACTCTGCGGCATGCGAGGGAGCTGAGCAGTCAGCTCAGAGGAAGTGCTCCCTCGCCAGCCGCCCGCCCAGCAGCCCGACCGGCAGCCACTGGACCACCAGGGAGAGAGAGACCTTTGGGGAAGCTGGGAGCTGGGGGGGTTAAATTTTTTTTTTTTAAAGTGTTAATGTGAGTGATTGTGTGTGTGTGTGTGTGTTTGTGTGTGACTGTGTGTGTGTGTCTGACTGTGTTTGTGTGTGTGTCTGACTGTGTGTGTGTGTGTGTGTCTGATTGTGTGTTTGTGTCTGACTGTGTGTGTGTGTCTGACTGTGTGTGTGTTTGTGTCTGACTGTGTGTGTGTTTGACTGTGTGTTTGTGTCTGACTGTGTGTGTGTGTGTGTGTGTGTCTGACTGTGTGTGGTGTATCTGACTGTGTGTGTGTTTGTGTCTGACTGTGTGTGTGTTTGACTGTGTGTGTGTTTGTGTCTGACTGTGTGTGTTTGTGTCTGACTGTGTCTGACTGTTTGTGTCTGACTGTGTGTGTGTGTGTGTTTGTGTCTGACTGTGTGTGTGTGTGTGTGTGTGACTGTGTGTGTGTGTTTGTGTCTGACTATGTGTGTGTGTGTCTGACTGTGTGTGTGTGTTTGTGTCTGACTGTGTGTGTGTGTCTGACTGTTTGTGTGTGTGTATTTAGAAAGTGGGGCGGGGGGAAGGGTTGGATGGGGGGGAGGGGGGTGCCTGAGTTTTGTCCTGCCTAGGGAAGCACAAAACCAGGATACACCACTGACTATAGTGGTCTTTTAAGGGTTAATAAGTGTGTAGTGGTTTATAAGAATGCCCCATTCTATCTCATTAGAGATTAGCTGACAGCAGCAAGGTGAATTGTTAGTTAGGATTCAAAAGTTTGCCCTAATGGGGCAAGTGAGCTTGCACTTTAACGGCCACTGTAGTGGTACTAAAAACCTTCTGTTATTTAGCTGCACGTAGTGATTTGGAATAGTGCACAGGTAATTACTATTTTTAGTACATTAAGGTTGATGAATACTATCGCCATTGTTGTTGCCCAAAAGTTGTGAGAATTTGAATGCAGGGTTTATTTCTGTGTTTTTATAACACAGACACATACACAAATTTTCTATGCCGTTCCAAATACTGTGGAACATATACACATGCACACAGACCGAGCACACACAAGCACACACTAGTCCATACATACTACTGTCTTTCTTGGCCATTGGGCCATATGTCCAGGCCTGGCCGAGATTGGTGGGACTCACATTTACTTGCTGAAGATGCTAGGTGGTGATTCATTTTAATTTCTCTTTACTGATCTGCTGGAGGGAAAGACATGGTGGGAGGTATTCACTAAATATCGAATTATAGAGAATTGATGTGGATACTGCATATTGTAGGCCAGAATACATCAACAGGAATATTTCCCTGGCTGGACAATTTGATATTTTATCTCTTTTTGGCTTAAAGTTCATTTTAGAGAGTTGGGTGAACTACAGATGAATTAGTTTCAATTTTGCAGTTTGGTTTTAAATAAATTACAATTAATTGGTAACCCTGTGAATAAACCACATTCACCTTGCAGCTTTTCATCATATCTACCTGGCATGGGGGAACGTGGGAGTCGGAGTGCCTACCTGAAAATGATATATTAGATGTGAGAACCTTTCTAATATTGCTTAGACAGATACAGACTGCAGGCTCTCACCTATAAAAGGTTAGCTTCCACTCTAGACAGTGTGGGAATATGTGATAATACATTGGCAATAAATATTAACTGACAGAGAAGGGCTGGCAAGGGGGCAGGGAAGATATTGTCCCTGGAGCTGCAGTCTTTCTATCCTTCTGTCTGTCGATCCATCCATCTATCCACCAGTCTATCCACCCATCATCATCTATCTATCCACCCATCCATCCTGTATTTATCTATCTGTCTCTCTGTCTATCCATCTATCTACCCATCCATCGGTTTATCAGTCTATCCATCCATCCTGTATCTATCTATCTATCTATCTATCTATCCATCTATCCATCAGTCTGTCTATCTATCTATCTATCTATCTATCTATCTATCCATCCATCAGTCTATATATCTATCTATCCATCAGTCTAGCTATCCATCAGTCTAGCTATCCGTCTATCTATCTATCTATCTATCTATCTATCTATCTATCTATCCATCAGTCTATCTATCTATCTATCTATCTATCTATCTATCTATCAGTCTATCTATCTATCTATCTATCTATCTATCTATCTATCCATCTGTCTATCTATCTATCTATCTATCAGTCTATCCATTGGTCTATCTATCTATCTATCTATCTATCTATCCATCAGTCTATCCATCGGTCTATCTATCTATCTATCTATCTATCTATCTATCTATCTATCTATCTATCTATCTATCTATCAGTCTCTCTATCTATCTATCTATCTATCTATCTATCTATCAGTCTATCTATCTATCCATCTATCTGTCTATCCATCGGTCTATCTATCTATCTATCTATCTGTCTATCTGTCTATCCATCGGTCTATCTATCCATCGGTCTATCTATCTATCTGTCTATCGATCGGTCTATCTATCTATTTATCTATCTATCTATCTATCTATCTATCTGTCTATCTGTCTATCCATCGGTCTATCTATCCATCGGTCTATCTATCTATCTGTCTATCCATCGGTCTATCTATCTATTTATCTATCTATCTATCTATCTGTCTATCCATCGGTCTATCTGTCTATCCATCGGTCTATCTATCTGTCTATTTATCTATCTGTCTATCCATCGGTCTATCTATCTATCTATCTATCTATCTATCTATCTATCTATCTATCTATCTATCTATCTATCCATCCATCGGTCTATCTATCCATCTGTGCATCCATCCAATGAAAATTACATTGATTGAATGATGTGAATGCGCTATTGCATGGTGTTACATTATACTGTAGTGTGATATGTAGAATGAATTCTAGGAATTGATATCCTACCCTTACATTAATATACACATTGCTACTATGTATTGCCTTTAGAGATTTTTTTATAAAATAAACCAATATTACTATCAGCACAATTACCAATAATAACTGCAGTAATCTCTCATTACTGATGTAAAAAACTGCAATTAAAATGTTGAATGTGTCCCTTGCAAGGTTATCTGCTACACTGAGAATTAACCATTGCATTGCCAGTTTTCGTTTCGCCTATTTTGGGCTGCTTGTGTCATTTCCTGGCCAATCCCCAACACTTCCCTTAATATGGTATAATACAAGGTACCCTAACTAGATTATGTGTGGCAATATCTCTCTAAAATATATCTTCATGGCTATCATGACATTATGACCTCAAGTAATATGAGTTTAATAGTATCTCTGTAACGGTTAATAATAGAAAGGGGGCATTAACCCTATCATGTCTCTAGTGGGGGTATAGCAGCCCCTAGAATTGAATGAACGCTTCGCTTAATAGTACTGAGCCTGTGTGGGGTCAATTGTTCTATTGATAGAATGAATGTATGCAAATCTTAATGGTGGCTGATCTTTTCCCAGATTAATCACTGGCCCCATGTTATATGTTCCATCCTCACGTTTAGTATTCCCATTATTAAGCAATAATGTATAAACATAACATAATCTATTAGTGCAACATTCTATACAGTGCATCTGTTCTAAACTTAAAATAAACATAATGGGTGCTAGCTTAATAAATAAATCAAATAAATCCAATATACATACACACAGACTTGCTGTGTATTTAACACAAAATAAAATGGAAAAATTATATTTTTTTAAATGTCATTTTATTATCAACAATCAAGTGATTGGCACACTCTTGGAAAACGAAACGCACATGTAGAAATTGATCCCTTTTAAATAGAAGCATTCATAATAACAACATATAAATAATTGGGGAAAGGGGGGGGGATCCTGAACAGAATGAATACTTGTGACTAAGCCCACAGGGTGTTCCAACCGAAAGCGATGGGTCCCCATGCAAATTGTAACAAAAATATATAGTGAATTCCACTCTCTCTAAACAAAAACAAACATACAAACAAAAAATAAAATAGAGTAACGAACAAACAATGAACAGAACCCGTAAGATCCTTACCTTTTTTTCCATGGAGACAGGGCATAGACTAAGGGTTGAACATTATTTACTTTTAACTATTTAATAGACAAGTGTACTTATATTAACACTATACAACTGTCACATAACAAGGCTGTAAAAAGACACACAAAGGGGAGAGCATACCTTCAACATCCAACTAATATCTAGATTTTTGTGCCTTAAAAAATGAAAATAAAACAAAAAAAGTTTATGTTGCTGAAACAATGTAATAAATACATTATTACACCCATACCATATGTATACATCGTGTAATAATAAAATAGACCCTGCAACACAGTGCAAATTAGTGAGAAAATTGTTTTTCTTTTCTCCCCCATCTTCCCAACAATTCATAAAGAGAACTAATATATAGTATTTCTGTTGGCCATCTGATTTTGTTTACAGTAGCATTGTGAGAAATATTAAATAAAAAGGTTTAACTGGAGGAGAATTATTATTTATTTTATGAAGAGTTCTATCCTTCCCCCCCTTGGTTGGCTGGCAGTGTCCACTGGAAAGTGAAAAGGTCAATTAATCTGTCCAGGTAAAGCCATGGCTGAGTTGGCAGGAAGAGGTGTAGGTGGTAGAAGTGGGTGGGCAGGGTCTGTATGGATGGTTCTGATTCTTGCACCAGTGTTTGATCTAGCAGGTACCAGTCACTTGTTTGGGTGCTTTCTACTGGAGCTACACACTTGCTCCTACCCCTGGAGCAGCTCTGGGTGAACAAGTCCCACATCTGAAGTCCAGAAATACCACCACCCTCCCAGATGAGGTCCTACTTCCACCTTCTAAGGTGTTGGGTGGAAGACTTCCGAGAAGTCCTTATCTTCTGGTGGCTGAGGGTGATGCCTGTCCCATGTCATTAAAATTGGGAGAGTTGTCACTAAGAATAAGAGGTCAGCAGCTGGCATGGCAGAGGGCATGTCTAGTAATAATGACAGGGCAGGGGAATGGGCTCAGTTCAGAACATACTCTTCACTAGAGTGGCTTTGGTGCTGTTGGGTCTTTGCAGAGAAGATAACACACTGGCAAAGGGCCCTCCCAAGGAGTCAGGGATGGAGGTGATGGTGCCACCAGGACCCGTGGCCCAGCCTTGTGCCCCTCCTGTGCCCCCAACCACTGATGCTGAAGACAGGCCCCCAGCCCCCTGCACTCCTCCTTTGACTTGCTCTTGTGGAACCCCATTGGCTTGGCCCCCCACGGGACTGGGTCCTCCGCCGCAGCTCGGGGTGGGGTTGGGGTTGCTGCCCGGTCCGCCGGTGCTGTCAGGGTCGGTACTCTTGTTATCTTTGCTTTCGTCGTCTCTGGAGGAGTCCGATTTCTTGCTGGAGGAGCCGTTCTTTGCCGCGGCTGCCGCTGCAGCTGCCGCCCTCTCCTGCTTCCTAAATTTGGCCCTGCGGTTCTGGAACCAGACCTGGACATGAGGTGGCATGGAAATGTGGAGGAAAGGAGAAGTGTGGGAGACATGCAATGGGTGACAGTATGTGGGAGATGGTAATGATCAGTGGATGGACCAGATTATTAATAACATAGAAGATGAGACATTGTGGATGAGGTGGAACAAGTGGTGGGAATGAATGGAGATGGAAGGAGGAAGATACAAAGAGAGACAAGGGGAGATCATTAACTTCATGTCCGGAATCACAGAGTATAGAACATGGAACATTACTGCAACATTAATAATTATAATAATTACTGCAACATTCTATCCAGACACCTTGCTATAGTACTACAGCATGACCACAGCTGGCATTGCAGGGGTTTATGGACTGAATAGCCCACGATGCTCAGCCAGCCTGCAACCTATGGAGCTTCTTAACATCTGCAATTCCAAGACTGTCCATCACTGTATGATAGAACATGGATTCCATCATTTAACAATAACTAACAATATCTATCTATCTATCTATCTATCTATCTATCTATCTATCAATCAGTCTATCTATGTATCTATGTATCTATGTATCTATCTGTCTATCTATCCATCAGTCTATCTATCCATCAGTCTATCTATCTATCTATCTATCTATGTATCTATCTATCATCTATCTAGCTATCTATCTATCCATCAGTCTATGTATCTATCTATGTATCTATCTATCCATCTATCTATCTATCTATCTATCTATCTATCATCTATCTATCTATCCATCAGTCTATGTATCTATCTATGTATCTGTCTATCTATCTATATATGTATCTATCTATCTTCATCATCTTATCTATTTTTAATGTTGCAAAATAAAGATATATATTTATTTATTGTAATATTATTTTGTTGTCCATGTATCAGTACAATAAGTAAATGACAGTAAAACTCCCACTAGCTGTCTTGTTGTTTCTACCACCCCAGGTAGGTAGGTGCTCCATCAATAGACAGTACCTGCACTCTGGCCTCCGTCAGGTCTATCTTCAGAGCCAGCTCTTCCCGGGTGTAAATGTCAGGGTAATGGGTCTCGGCGAACACCCTCTCCAGCTCCTTCAGCTGAGCGCTGGTAAAAGTGGTCCTGATCCGTCTCTGCTTCCTCTTCTCATTCAGACCCCCATGGTCAGTGAACAGCTTGTATGGAACTGGGAGAGAGAGGAAGAAACACAATGTGTAATAATATTAATACTCCGGATGTCCATCCATCCCGGTCTGCTTTTACTACCAATTCAAAAATACAAATTCTCTGAAATATGGAACATATCCTGAAAAGAGAATTCGAATTCCATTGGAATTACTGAAAAGCAACGAAAAAACATTTGCTTTGTATCTATAGAAACCTACGCAAAAAAAAAAAAAAAATACAAAAAAAATAAAGTGTAATTTTTCACAATAAGTTTACAAATCATTTCACAAAGTCAGATACATCTGGAAAATAATACATTGTTTATTATTACCACTAGGTATTATTTTGCTAATCACTGGATCACTGAGTTGATGTTATAAAAAGATCACAAATCTTGATAAATAAATATCTCAATAAATGGATGAACTCGTTTAATGTCCCCCCAAAAATGAGAGGTGACAAGTGAGAAGTGCTTGCCAGTTAGAGGGGGGCTTGTGGTGTGACCCCTGTGTTTTAGGACAGTGACTGTGATGAGCCTTCTCTGGGGTTATTTAATTATTTGCTAAGCTTTACGTCTCATCGCAAAGTAAATAAATTATGCCTATCATTTTGGCAGCTTAAGATAATTTTGTTGGCGGTTCAGGGTGTGACTAGGATAGTGTAACTATGTAACTGAATTACACCTCGCCTGCAATCGCTCCTAACGTGATAAATTCTTTCATTTGTGTAAGCAAATTTCGTTTGGTAAATACTAAACACATTTCCATTTTCAAATGCAATCAAGGATTCCACTATACAAGGGGACATCTCCTGCTAGGGATGGGGAGATCTTCTCTTGAAGGTCCTTACCTGCTGCATATGGACTGCTCTGGTGGTCTCTAAGCGTTCCAAGGCTGCAGGATCCTGGAGTAAGGGACGGACAGCCAGAGGTGGCCCCAAAAGTGGTCCTTATTGGGTTATACTGGAAGCCACTGGCTTGGCTGCAGGAACTGAAATCAGCATAAGCTGAAGCCAAGCTTGAAGTGTCCATTCCAGCCATACAGGACTCGTAGGCAGAGGAATTGAGATAAGAATATTCCATTTTATACATTGAAAAGGTTCTGGAGGTCTCACCAAAGAGGGGAAAAACAGAGAAAAAAGGAGAGGGAGAGAGAGGTAAGGTGGATACAGTTGCAGTGTTGGGGAGATGTGCTCAGTTCCACTCCTGGTTCTGCACTGGCCTCCTTACTACAAGCAGAGCTTAGTTTTATGAAAAAGCCTCCTATGAGAAGCCTTGCCTGAGGTCTCTAGAGCATAAAGTCCTCATAATAAACTTGGCTCTCTCCACTTGGACAATAGCAAAGCGGTAGGTCTTATTGCTGGCGCTTTTTACATGACAATAACTCATCAGTCTATTGGGCTGGCACTGGGGGGACCTAGCTGTCCAACCTCCCTATCACTGATTCCTGCATCTCTAATTAGAATTTAATAGCACACCATTACGTACTGAGCCCCTTCCATCCTCCCTTCTAACCAGCTCCCTGCCCTTTAATTCAATCAGACTCTTTGCAAATAATGAAACTTGGGTGACGATTTTCCCTGATCCAATTTCCCCTTCAGCTTTTAAAACCATTTTAACCCATCATGTAATATATATATAGATATACCTTTGGCAATAAAATGAGATGCTGACTGTGTTCTCCTCTCTTGCCTTGCAGGGTCGATGTCACAGAAAGGCTGATTTTTTTTTTTTTACTGTAAGTGTTACAATTTCACAATCAGCCCCCCTCCCCCCTTCTCCCCCCTTGACCCTATCCTCCTTTCATCAGGTGCATGCTATGGTAGAGGGGCTGGCAAGCAAACTGGCACGATCGCCACCAAGGCCAGGGCACTGGGTGAGTCACACTCCATTCCCCATTCACCTGGCAGTTTGGGGGCTGCTGTCCCCCCCAATCCATCTGACTGCATCCTGATCCCCAGCCTTCATCACACACTTTCACTTTCGTGTTCCAAGCATGCAGAACGCGAAACGTAAACATAGTGACGGGTTCCATTGTCAATGTAACTAGTGCTTTTTATTAATTTGACATTGTTTACTTGTTTTACCTTGTTTATTATTAACAAAACAGAGTATTGAAATGGCAGAATTTAGGTTCACTAGACATTTATAGCCACAGATTGGATAATTAGGCTGAATTTGCATGTCGGGGTTCAATTTTCTGCAAGTCGAAAGAAGTAAATAAAACCCCTTTAGAGGATCCGATTTTATTAAGACATAGTGGATACAAATGAAAAAAATAAAAAATAAATTACATTTAAAAATATGTTCCCTATGGATAGCGGCTAAACCTGAATTAGCATAGTTTTAGTATATGTATATATGAATGTATCAATGATGAATACCATAGAAAAGAAATCCAGAGGCAACAAACGAAATACTTTATATATTTTATCTAAAAAAAAGATTGAAAATAGTTACCTTTCTCGTGTGTCTATCTATCTATCTACCTCTATCTTAGTTCTTTATCATCATGTTTTCTATTTTTAAATGTTACAATATTATATATATATATATGTATATATTTAATGTTATATATTAATTTATTAATTTACTTTTCCATCCCATCCATATATAAACACACAGTTACTTTTTTTTTTATTGATACCTATTAATAATAACTCACACAACATAATTTTAAAAATAAATATATATATATATATATATATATATATATATAAAATGCAATAGATATTTTAAAATAGTTTCATATCTGTGAACTATAAATTAACATTGATTTGAATGTCTGTAAAATATAGTTTTTTTTTACCTTTAATTCTAATTGCACAGATATTACCATGTCCCTGATTGCAGTGCTCTCCCTGTACCCTGTGTATACAGATCCCTTTTTACGTTTAAATAGCACAACTCAGAGAGATGACAGCACACAAATGACCAGCTCCATCTAACAGCCTGGGGAGGATCTTACATGGCAGAAAACATTCATTATTCTCTTAATTTCGCATGAACACAATTTCATTTCCAAGTCATTTGTTTGCATCATTTCCTGGCATTATTTGTAGCATCCAACAAACACATCCTAATTTTTCTCTAGAAAAAAAAACTGGTAAACAAGCCCCAGCTATTTTATAGGATCCTAACATGTGGATAATTCATTTTAATGCATTCATTAACCCCCTTTATGTGGTCTGTAACAAGTCCATAATTAAAGTAACAAACTCATAAAGCCATAATAGGGGTATTTAAGGAGTACAGTATTTAACAAGCTAAACAGCTTAATTCAGGGCTGCACTCAATAGACAAAACAAGCACATTAGGCCAGGGCTGTTTAGCTACTGGGTGTTTTATTGCATTTTATAAAATAAAGCCTCTTAGGAGAGTACTCGATTAAAACAAAGATGTGCTTTGGAAACACAATAAGTCATAAAGTTTGTACCATGAAGTCCCCCAGTGAGAGTTTTATGACACAGGCTGATAGTTTTATTGCTGTTGTTAATGCACAATGTGGATTTGATCAAGAACAAATGCTTGCTGACTGCTGGTGTGCTGGCTGGTTGTAGAGGTGGGATATAAAAAAAACCCCATGAACAAGGTTTTAGTGACAAATTGCAGGATTCTCTATTTCCTTTCGAGTCCTTTTCTGGTGGTTAGACAGCCGGGAATAATAGCACCAGAAACATCAGTCTTCTGTAGTCTCCGTGTAAAGGCCTGCAAAGAGTGATGTGATTTCAAGTGCACTTACTGCAAGAATTTATCTTTATGTATGCTTTTCCTCATGAATATCAATACACATTGTATTTGGGGGGTATCTATTCACCTCTGTAGTTACTAATGGATTTTTTTTTAACAAAACATAAATGCTGATGTTTCTATGAGCATAGGGAGTTATTGCTTTGTGCAGTGTTGTTTAAAATCAGACCAGGGATTTTACGCTTTTATCTTATTGCGGTGGCTTGAATCATATTTCGGTTGCATTTGTCTTTATATTTCTGATTTTGTTTGTGATAACAAAAATATACAAAAATGGTTTTAGCATTTTTCAGATAAAACCCTGAATATTGGGAACAATGGGATTATTTATTAACAGTCGTCTATGAATTAACATCCATCCATTTAGAAAAAAATGTCAGAAAAAGAAAATGCTAAAGTCAGATAGAAATTTTTGTTGTGAATCAGCTGTTTTAAGTTTTTCGGCCAATTATTACAACTCACTGTTTCTATATTCATCAGCTCCCAAATAATAGCTGGCTCTCCCATAGCAACTAATTGCATCCCTTAATAGTGTAACTGTAAAACGAATCTTGTTTATAATCTGCACACAGTATTGTCAAGTTGGTTATTGTAATATGAAAGATAAATAGCCATTTTGCTGCATGATATAATTATACCAAAATATTTAACTTATACCTAAATAATAAAAAATAGTTTGTGGTACCACTGTTAATAAATTATTTGAAAACCTATCTTTTCCTAATGATACAGAGAAATAATCACTTTGTTTTAATATTTAGAATTTATTTTTACATTGCATGTAGCATTCTCATTAAATAATTATTTTTATACAATGACAGTAATTCTATTTTACAAGCTCTGAATTAAGCATGCAGGCCTTATTCATGCATTGCTGTATTGTGTTTTCCAAAAATTCATAATATAAAAATAATCATTTATTTTTCTAGAACATGGCCATATTTCATTGCTTTGCCATTCTTTTTAATTTCTCTTTCCTTTAGTTGTTTCCTTCCCCTTTACAACTAATTTCACAAACATACAAAATTTTGCTAAAAAATAGAAGATACTCTAAATCCCTGGAAAAAATAACCTCCCCCCCCCCCCGGAGTTTATGGCATTAATGTTACACTGCATAATAGTGGAGAACTAAGACTTGCAACAGTTTTTTAAATTTACACACAAGAGCCAGTACACTCAGATAATAATCATAACAATTCAAAGTATAATTTTCTTTCTAGACGGTTTTAGAGCTGTTTAGATTTTGTCGAGAACAGTCCCTGAAATGGTTTATAAATATATATATAGACATATCTACGTGCTATTCATTTTTATACGTATGGCAGCATGCTCAGTATGGTTCTGGTCTGTCATATAATATTGTAAATCCCAGAAATGATCTGTTTGTTTGTATTTTTATTTATTGAATACTGAAAAATAATTTTTTTGGTTTATGTCTGGGTTTACACATGGCTTATTCTAAGCTATGAAAACACTGGTCACAATACTTTCTAAAAGGCTTTTTGATTGTACTGTTGGTATTATTAATATTTTCACCCTACAGGTATTTTTTTTTTATTATTGACCGAGGTATGTAAGCAAACATGTACTAATATCTTTTGTTTGCATGTATGCTTTGTTTTTTAAAAGTCGTTTGCAATACTGGTCTATGAAAAACAAAAACCTCCTTCCCAAAGATATATTTATTGGTTGTTTGGGAAACATTTGTGACACATTTGTATTGATGCAGCCTTTAACTTCCTGTTATTCATTGAAGTACTTCCTGTGTGTAGAGTTCACCAAGTTTTATGGAGTTATATTAACAACCAATCAGAATACAGGGGTGGGCAGAGCTAAGTAACTCATGCATCCATTGTTTACAAAGTTTATTGCATACTTAGAGCAAACATGCTTTCACACCTCCGAACAGTTCAAATAGATACAGATGGGCACTTTAATTTTAGGTGGTGTGAGGGTGTGGCCAGGGTCGTGGCTATTTTAGGTGACTTACTAATAATTTATGCAACTAAAATGTAATTTTAGTTAGAGCACATCTAAAATTTACAATATCTGTATGTTTCATATTTCCTCAAGAAGTTACCTTTTTGTAGCACTGAAAATTATTCAACCCCAACAAAAACAAAACAACACCACTCTGAATGCCAATTCTGGGTCAGTGTTTGTATAACAACCTATTATGTAGTTCGCGCAATAAAAAACAAAAACAAAAAAAACCCAAAAAGCCCCCCACAAAAAAGCATTTTTATTTATATGAAAATCCTATTTTTGGTTTTTTTTTAAGTTGTATTTGATCCTAAAATTATATCTGGTTTCAGGTATTTTATATATTTTGCTAAGCAAGGACTTATCATTCCAAGATTATTAATAAAATAGTAATCGTGTCAGTCCTGAATTCATCAGATACCGATATGATACTTTTATATTAATTATAATTTTTATCAATTTTGTATAATATATATAGATAGAGAGATATAGATATACATGGCATTAAAAATACATAACACAGGGTGCAATACATACATTACAAACACATTACTGTTCCACATTTGTTTAAATTCCATGTGTGTCTCGCTACTGTTCTGTAT